CGACACCTGGAGCAGGAGACGCACCAGCACCTAGAGCAGCAGCCTCACCAGCACCTAGAGCAGTAGACTCTATACCTGGGTCATGCGGCACACACAGGTAACAGGCACCCTCAGCACTAGTAGGCAATGCATACATGGCAGTGAGGATAGCATCATCGTCAAGAGCAAAGATTTCTACCCTCTGCCTAAGCAGCTCTAGCCAGGAGGGGAGCTTAGCATCGTCACCAAACTCTGTACGCCAGGCGTCGCTCAGACAGGAGAAGCAGCGGGACTCTGTGTGACCAACCGTCCCGCAAGGCTGACTAGCCCGAGCACCTGTGCGAATGACGTACGGGCAGCGAGCAGTACTCCGTGACTCTCTTCCCTGAGCGTACCACTCACGAAGCTGCTAGGGCGAAAGGATCTCGCGCTGACGCCGCTGCAGCTACACCTGGCCACTACAAGAAGCTCCCGAACTACCCGCTCCAGGGCGACTCCCACCACGGCCACCCCTACAACCCCAACTAGCGTACCACTCACGAAGCTGCTGAGGCGAAAGGATCTCGCGCGGACGCAGCTACAGCTGCACCTGGCCACTACAAGAAGCTCCCGAACTACCCGCTCCAGGGCGACTCCCACCACGGCCACCCCTACAACCCCAACTAGCGTACCACTCACGAAGCTGTTGGTGTGTGAGGGACTCACGCGGACGTCGTTGGAGCTGCATCTGGCCACCAGAGGCGGGTAGGGCAGGTGCTCACTAGAGGCGGGTAGGGCAGATGCCACCGGCGGCGGTGGGCAGGCGCTCAACGGGCACGAGTAGGGCAGTGCAGGCGCTCGGCGGGCGGCTGCAGCGAGGCCGCGACGGCGGCTACGATGGGGCCGCTACGGCGGCTGCAGGCACGACGGCGGCTACGGCTGGGCAGGGCCGGGACAGCGGCAACGGCGGGGCAGGGCTTGACAGCGGCTACGGCGGGGCCGCGACGGCTGCTGCAGACGCGACTGCGGCAGGGCAGGGCAGGGGCGGCCGCCCCAAGGGCGGGCGCGGGGTGGGGCAGGGCGCGGGCGGGCTGCAGATGAGGCAGGGCGCGGCGGCCAGGGGGCGCCGCGACGAGCAGGGGCGACGCCGCGCGGGTCCCGCAGGGGCGTCGCGACGAGCAGGAGCGGCGCCGCGCGGGTCCCGCAGGGGCGTCGTGACGAGCAGGGGCGACGCTCGGGTCCTGCAGGGGCGTCGCGACGAGCAGGAGCGGCGCCGCGCGGGTCCCGCAGGGGCGTCGCGACGAGCAGGGGTGACGCCCGGGTCCCGCAGGGGCGTCGCGACGAGCAGGAGCGGCGCCCCACGGGTCCCGCAAGGGCGTCGCAACGAGCAGGGGCGACGCTCGGGTCCCGCAAGGGCGTCGCGACGAGCAGGAGCGGCGCCGCGCGGGTCCCGCAGGGGCGTCGCGACAAGCAGGGGCGACGCCCAGGTCCCGCAGGGGCGTCGCGGGGTCCAGGGGCAGCGTCGCGGGGTCCAGAGGCAACGCCGCGGGGTCCAGGGGCAGCATCGCGGGTGCAGGGCAGGCCTGCGCGCGGCCTGCAGGGCAGGGCGACGGGCAGGCGCTCGAGGGCGCGAGTAGGGCAGGCGCTCGAGGGCGCGGGTAGTGCAGGCGCTCGAGGGCGCAGGCAGGGCAGGCGCTCTAAGGCGCGGGTAGGCAGGCGCAAGGCGCTTGACGGGGCAGGCAGGCACGGCAGTGCGCTTCGGGCAGGGCAGAAAAAAAAGTTCGTGGTGGGCCCTAAAAAAAACGTTCCCACTAGGGAACCTGCTCTAATACCATGTGAGAATCGGAATAAGGAATGACTAGAATGAGAACAGTACAAGGCTTGTATGGGCAAAACCTAACAGGGCTGTACCCAATAAAGAGTGCCCCACTATAGCCTAGAGTATAGTTCTGACAAGAATAGCATCAAAGTCAAGTTCAAATATGTCTACTTTAGCCTTAAGCAGATCTGCCCAGCGGGGCGTCTCATGATCATCGCTAAACTCATTGCGCCAAGCATCATTTAGACGGGAGAAGCAGCGGTAGCCGGTGTGGGGCTTGCCACACGTCTGACCCTTGCGTTAGCCGGTGCGAATGAAGTACGGGCAAGAGAGAACACCCCCAGACCCCTGGCGCTGAGCATACCAGTCACGAAGCTGCTGGGGCGAGAGGGGCTCACACTGGCGCTGCTGCTGCTGCTGCCGCTGACCACCTCCAGTCCGCCCACCGCTGCTGCTGCCACCACTACTCCCGTCACCACCACCACTTCCCCCACTGCGTCCACTGTCACCACGACCGCTGCCACCACCACCCCCGCCGCTGCCACCGCCCCCACCGCCTGCTCCCCCACTTCCGCCACCACTCCCACCGCCACCACCGCCCCCTCCACTGCCTCCACCGCCTCCACCACTACCGCCTCCACTGCCACCACCCCCACCACCCTTGCCTCCCTTGCCCCTGCCGCTGCGGCGCCTCCCACTAGGAGCAAAGGCAGCACCGACTCCCTCAACACCAAGGTAGTCGACAGCAGCAATTTTAGAAAGCTTGCTTTCTTGTTGTAGCAATGGCATCGTCTCATTTCAAATGGCAAAGTACAGACATGTCCAAGCTAGCATGCAATTATTCTAAAGCAATCAACTATCCATAATTGGTCCCAGTTCTACAGGGTGGGTGGGCGGGAAACTAGGCTAAGCCGTTTGAAAATGAAAGACGTGGGTGGAGGGAAATGACCTCCAGCCCACGTTTTGTACTCCAAAACGGGCGTTTAGTGCGATTCGCCGATGACCATTGCTACATTACAAGCCGCTTCGCTTTCAAAATACAAATTTTTGAAAAGCGTTACAGCTTTTAAAAATATTCATTTTGTCATTTTTTAAGCGCATGCGCTTATGTTTTTTACTCAATTATAAGCGCACCCCCCTAAAAAACACGGCTTTATTATAAGCGCAGGTGCGCTTATATCCGGGGTAATACGGTACCTACATTTCTCACTCGTTCTTTATTACCTTCAGCTGAATCAATGCTACCTGTGATACCACTGGAAAAAATCTCGCACTCTTCAACATACAATCACATGACTACAGCATTTACAGTACCCTTCCATTCATCCCACACCTACCGGTAAAATTTTCAACCCCACATCCCTCGCCGCATGACACGAACAGCAGCACCATGAGCATCACCACCACCACCATTGCCATTCACATACACCTCTCCTAACTTGTGCCAATCCAATCCCACTCCTCATCTTCCCATCCCTCCCCTGTGCCCTCCGCGTCCCCTCACACCCCTACCCACACCCCTACCGGCCCCTCTCCTGCCCAAATCCATCCCACCATAAGGGCCTTCTTCTTCTGCTGCTGCCGCTCCGGCTCCTCTTCCAGCTGCCCTCGCACCGCCTCTTCCCCTCGCCCCTCCTGCTCCTCTCCCTCCTCCTGCTGCCTCCCCCTGCGCGCCTACAAACTTTAGCCATGGGTCACTCTGTAACGGAGGGTTGGAGCCCGACCCAGACCCAGCTGGCCCTGCTGTTGCACCTGCAGCAAAGGATGCCTCGCCTACTCCCCGTGCTCCTGTCATACCTCCATGGCCAGAAGCAGCAGAGGAAGCAGCAAAGGAGCCATCCTGCACTCCCCTGGGTTTGTGCCCCCAGTCTTCTGGGCCCATCTCCCCTCCCACCTGCCACACTGTGCCCCGCACCACCTCCCTCTCTGCTTCCGCCATTGCTGCTTCTGCTGCTGCCACTGCCGCCGCTGCTGATGCTGATGCGGCAAACGGAGTAAAACCTTGGGCGCCGGTCCAAGTTCCAGACGCATGGGTACCAGAAGGGGGCGACTGAGGCGTGGAGGAAGGAGAGGGTGGAGTAAAACTGGATGTGTAGGAGGACGAGTAGGAAGAGGATTGATGGAAGGAGGAGGAGGAGGTAGAGGAGGAGGGGGAATCGGAGGAGGGGCGGAGGGGGATGAGGGCTTTGCGGGAGAGCTTGACGTTGCCCCTGGTGTCGCGGGAAATGCAGGAGACGGTAACCGTGTCACCCACTTTCAGCACGTCCTCCACTCGTGACACCTGGTTGGAAGGTTGGGGGGAAGGAGGAGGAGGAGGAGGAGGTGATTCCTTGAGGCGCTGAAAGAAAGAAGGCATTTATTACGGGTTTGTCGAGAGGGAGACAGTACTGGTGTAGATATTCGAGGCGCCCAAAAGAAAGAAAGAAAGAAAGAAAGAAAGAAAGAAAGAAAGAAAGAAAGAAAGAAAGAAAGAAAGAAAGAAAGAAAGAAAGAAAAAGTGGACGCGGTAGCTGTGTCGGCCACCTTGAGCTTGTCCTCTATTCGTCACAACACGTTATTCATTAAGCGCCTGGTTGGTTGGTTAGCTGGCTGGTTGTTTGCTCTCTGGTTGGTTGAATGGAAGAGGTTATTATTCTAAACAGACAGATTCTCGCCCGGTGGTGCGTGATTTCCGATGCAACTTGTGAGTCGACTCAAAAGTGGTGGCATCGTACCCGGTAGTGCTCAATCTCAGATATGTGTAGCAGCCCGTCCCTGCCCCCTTCGAGCTCCACGAACGCGCCAAAGTCCCGAATGGATGACACCACTCCTGTGTATGTTCCGCCCACCTCCACCTCCTTCCCCACCGCCTCCTCCACCTGCCCCGCAAACCAGGGAATAGAGAGAACAAGGCGAATGTTTTGAGTTGACTGGTAAGCCACCTCCACCTCCTTCCCCACCGCCTCCTCCACCTGCCCCGCAAACCAGGGAATAGAGAGAACAAGGCGAATGTTTTGAGTTGACTGGTAAGCCACCTCCACCTCCTTCCCCACCGCCTCCTCCACCTGCCCTGCAAACCAGGGAATAGAGAGAACAAGGCAAATGTTTTGAGTTGACTGGTAAGCCACCTCCACCTCCTTCCCCACCGCCTCCTCCACCTGCCCCAGGAGCGAATAGACGGGTTACTACAATGGAGCCAGCAGGGAGAATTCTGGGTCAAACCATAAGGAGCGTCCGGGTGCGTTCAGGTGCATGGGTCAGAAGAATTGAACCAGCAGGGAGGGAGGCGCAGGTGGTGTGGGAGAGGGGGAGAAATCGGAAAGGGGGACTTGGGTGGGAGAGAGAGGTGAACGCGGAGTATCGGAAAAGGGGTGAGGCAGAAAAGAGAGGGAGGGCGAGAGAGGAAGGGCGCGGGAAAGAGGGCGAGCAATGGAGGGCGTACCATGTCCCTGGTGGCTTCAAACGATGCGCTGTCATGAACAATATACACATTTCCGCATAAAAACGGCGTGAACTGGGACACTTTTTGAGGCGCATCAGCAATGGAGGGCGTACCATGTCTCTGGTGGCTTGAAACGATGCGCTGTCGCGTGCAAAGATGGAAACAGAGCCCTCGTTGGACACCTGAATGCGCGACCCTGGTGGTGCGTGGTGGGAGGGGTGGGAGTGGAGGGAGGGGTGGGGTGGGAGCGGTGGGAGTGGTGAGAGCAGTGGGAGGGGCGGGAGTGGTGGGAGGGGTGGGAGTGGTGGGAGGGGTGGGAGACGTCATACAAACGAGCGACATGCACCATGCCCCTGGTGGCTTCCAAACGATGCACTGTCACGGCAAAGATGGTCACAGAGCCATAGTTGGACACCTGAATGCACGGCACTGGTGGTGAGGCGAGTGATGGCGTTCGGTTCACAGTGTGCGCACAATGTGGGAGAGGTGAGGCGAGGGGGGCGGGTGAGGCGGGTGACAGAGTTTTGAGTCGACTCAAAACACACGGCTCATTTCACACGTGTGATGGTGTTCACAGTGTGCGCACGCACAATGTGGGAGAGGTGAGGCGAGGAGGCGGGTGAGGCGGGTGAGGCGGGTGAGGCGGGTGAGGCGGGTGAGGCGGGTGAGGCGGGTGAGGCGAGAGACAGAGTGAGATGGGAGAGATGGGAGAGGTGAGGGAGGTGGGCGAGGTTAGAATGGATGGACGGGCAAGGCGTGAATGCGAGGCGTGAACGAGCGAGCACCACGTCTGATGTGCCTCTCATGCAGCGTGCACGAAGTGTGCCGTGAGCAGTGTGCAGAGTGCAGAGTGCTGTGATGTATCTTTGTCGTGTTTGCATGAGTTGTATGTGCGTCGCATAGTTGTATGTGCATCGCATCTGAGCTCGCACCTGTGAGTCGCTGCAACTGCTTAATGGTGGAGCCCTGGGGGCCTATCAGCCGCCCTATGCTGTCCCTGTCTATCGCCACCGTGCCTGCCGTGCCACAGGGGGGAGGTAGGGGGATGGTGGTAGGGGGATAGCAAGGCGGGGATGGCTCAGATGGGAGTGGGAGTTAAGAATGAGAGAAATGACTCAGAAACGGCAGGGGGAAAGAGAATGGGGGCCGCCAAGGGTGGTGAGGATAGGATTGAGAGAAGGACTCCTCCCCTCCCCTACTGGAGGAGCCAAGAGACCAGGTGTGAGTGCGGCGGTGAGAGAGGAGACTTTTGAGGCGGCGCAAAAGAGGACTCCTCCTTCCGCTCCTGGACGAGCCAAGGGACCGGGTGTGATTGTGGCAGTGCATTTGAGGCGCCATGCGAAAATCCCCTCCTGGAGGAGCCAAGGGAACAGGTGTGATTGTGGCAGTGCATTTGAGGCGCCATGCGAAAATCCGCTCCTGGAGGAGCCAAGGGAACAGGTGTGAGTGTGGCGGTGAGAGAGGTGGATGGGAAGCGGCGGCCCTGCAATGCAAGGTCCTTCTCCATGTGCTTGACGTATCAGCTGGAGGCAGTGAACGTGCACGCAAGAAGATACAGCTGGAGGCATTGAGTTCTAGCAACCGATTGCCCTCCCTTCCTACACTCCCACTCCCAAAATTTGTACAGGTCACACGCTCTCCCATCCCATCCCATCCCATCCCATCCCATCCCATCCCATCCCATCCCATCCCATCCCATCCCATCCCATCCCATCCCATCCCATCCCATCCAATCTCCCACTAACCAAATCTGGGAGCGGTAGCGCTGTGCTCCAGGCTTGGCCCGGCAAGCTCCTTCTCCATGTGCTCTATGATGCGGCTGCGTGCAGCAAGAGCGGGGTCAAGAGCACACCTTCCCATCCCATGTTGCACTCACCAAACCTGTGCAAGTCACACGCTCTCCCATCCCATCTCCCACTCACCGAATCTAGGAGCAGTAGCGCTGTGCTCCAGGCGTGGCCCAGCAAGCTCCTTCTCCATGTGCTCGATGATGCGGCTGCGTGCAGCAAGGGCAGGGTCGAGAGCAGCGCAGAGCACGGGCAGCGGCACGCCCGGCAGCTTGATGTCGAGCTGTATGGCTGTGATTCCCCGGCGCGTTCCTGCTATCTTGAAATCCATGTCTCCTAGATAGTCCTCCAGACCCTGGTGGGAAGGGGGGAGGGAGAGGTGTTGGGGAAACGGAAAGAGAAAGGGTGGGAGGAGGGTTGACAGGAGGAAGCGGAGAGGGTGTTCATGCGTGTGCCTGCTATCTTGAAATCCATGTCTCCCAGATAGTCCTCCAAAGAAGGGAAGAAAGGAAGGACGAAGAGAGGGGTGGGGAAGAAGGGGGGTTGAGAGAGAAAAGGGGTTGAAGCGAGGGGGGGGAAGAGAGGGGGAGGAGAGGAAGAGGGAGGAGGGAAGAGGGGGTAGGAGAGTGTGGAAATGGGTCTCTGCTGTGAATTAGCTACATCTTGAAGTCCATGTTGCCCAGATAGGTCTTCATGCACACATGCACAGCACATGCACATGAACACAAGCACAAGTACCGTACCACATCCTTCACACCCCTCACCCACGCAACCAAAGCCCACCAGGATATCAGTGAGCAAGCGGTAGTGCTTGAGTTCGCCCGTGCTCTGGTCCACGTCTGTCACAAGCCCCATGGCATGCTTCCAGAGGCCCTTACCCCTCTCACCTCCCCCCCACCCCATGCCCCCTCCCCCTCTCCCTCCCCCTCCCTCCATCCCTCCCCCCCAAGCCCACCAGGATATCAGTGAGCAAGCGGTAGTCCTTGATTTCGCCCGTGCTCGGATCCACATCGGTCACAAGCCCCATGCTTATGCTTTCAAAGGCCCCTCACCCCCCTGCTCTCCTCGTCCCCCCCCAACGCGCACCAGGGTATCAGTGAGCAAGCGGTAGTCCTTGATTCCTCCCGTGCTCGGGTCAACGTCCGTCTGACTGAGCCGCATGCCTTTTGGCGTCGCTCAGTCCTTCCCAGGCACCCCCACCCCACTCTTCCGCGCCCCCCCAAACCTCACCAGGATATCAGTGAGCAGGCGGTAGTCCTTGATCTCCCCTGTGCTCGGGTCAACGTCTGTCACGAGCCCCATGCTTATCCCCGCCACATGCTCCCGCACACCCACCCCCGCATCCATCAGTGCAAGACTCGCTGCAGGGGAGGGAGGGGAGGGGTGGGGACGGCGGTGGAGGGAAGGGGAAGGGCGGGGAGGGGCGGGGAGGGGAGGAGAGGGGAGGGGAGGAGAGGGGAGGGGAGGAGAGGGGAGGGGAGGCATGAATGGTAAAAAGCTAAGGAGGTCGTAAGAAAGGGTGGGGACGGTAGGGTGGAGTGCAGAAGGGGGACCGGCAGAAGAAAGCGAGGGGAGGGCTAGAAGAAGACAAAGGTAGAATAAGGTGCATTGCATGCAGGAGCACATGCAAAGGAAATCTCTCAATAGCGATCCAACACATGGCACAAGTGTTGGTGGGCAAACGATGTGAAGTGGGTGGCAAAAGAAGAGAGAGTGATGCACGATGGGAGTGGCACAAGTGGCGGGAGCAGAGGGAACGGATGTAGGGGGGGGAGGGAGCAGCTGGGAGCAGGATGGAGGGAAGAGAGGTAGTGAGCAGCAAGAGCAGAGAGAGCAGCGAGCATGGTGAGAGAGGAGAAAAGATTGCTCGGGAGAGCTGGAGAGCGGGAGAGCGGGAGAGTACCTCCGCAGAAGGTGGCCATCGAGGAATAGAGCCATCGGAGGAAAGAGGCGCGAGAGAGGAGGGAGTGGTTGAGTAGTACCTCCGCAGACGGTGGCCATGGAGGAGGAGCCATCGGAGCTCATGACTTCCGACGTCACGCGCACCGAGTATGGCAGCTCCTGCTCGTCTGGGAACACGGCTAGCAGTGCCTTCTCCGCCAATGTGCCTGGAGGGGGGAGGGTACGGATGGCAGTGTATGTGTGGGCGTGAGTGTGGGTGATTGGGACTACCAGCGGGTCACGCGCACCGAGTATGGCAGCTCCTGCTCGTCTCGTCTGGGAACACTGCCAGCAGCGCCTTCTCCGCCAATGTGCCTGGAGGAGTGGGTGGGTGTGTGGGTGGGCATGAGTGTGGGAGTGAGTGGTAGTGGTTGGGAGTGGTAAGCGTGGCAGTCACTATGGCTAGTCATACGGTTTGTTACGGATTTCCTAACCGCACTCTCGCATCCACCTGTGGCCCACTCCTTCACTGCACTCGCTCTTATGGATCCCCACACCATGCCGCGCGGCACATGTTTTGAGAACTCACAGAAAACACCTGAGACCACCAAACCGCCAAACCGCCAAACCGCCAAACCGCCACTGCACTCACCACTAGAAAACACCTGCAACAACGGGAATCCCCAAACCACCAAACCGCCACTGCACTCACCACTAGAAAACACCTGCAACAACGGGAATCCCCAAACCACCAAACCGCCACAGCACTCACCACTAGAAAACACCTGCAACAACGGGAATCCCCAAACCACCAAACCGCCACTGCACTCACCACTAGAAAACACCTGCGACAACGGGAATCCCCAAACCACCAAACCGCCACAGCACTCACCGTGGCCCACCTCCCTGCGGTTGAGCCCGCCGCGCTCGCTGCGCACTTCGTTGACGGAGAAGGGCGGGAAGGAATAGTGCACCATGAAGCGCTTCTGGGTCACTCCTGTCAGGGAATCCACGCGTTGAGCGTCGTCTGGCGGACCCAGTGTCACTGTGCACAGCACCTGGGGAAGGGGAGGGAGATGATTGGGGAGAGGTGAAGGGCGGGAAGGAGTAGTGCACCATGAACCGCTTCTGCTTCACTCCCGTTAGCGAGTCAACGCGTTGTGCGTCGTCTGGTGGGCCTAGAGTCACCGTGCACAGCACCTGAGGGTAGGGGAGGGGAGGGGGGAGAGGGGGAAGGAGTAGTGCGCTATGAACCGCTTCTGTGTCACGCCTGTCAGAGAGTCCATGCGCTGCGCGTTGGGCCTAGTGTCACCGTGCACAGTACCTGAGGGGAGGGAGGGGAGGAGGAAGAGGGGGGAGAGATGGAGATTGACATTGGGGAGAGGGGGTATGGGAAACGTGGTGCAGGAACTTGATTTCCTGTGAACAAGAGTGAGGAGGCGTGAAGATGATTCAGCACCCCTGCCTCGCATAGAGTTTGGGGCGGTTCACAAACCCTTCAAACCCACCTGTGTTTCCCACGGGAGAAGAGCAAGCAGCCGCGAAGAGGATGGATGCAGTATACCTGCCTCGCACGACGAAAACCATATTCACAGATCAATAAACCTTCAAACGCACCTGCGTGTTCCCGCGGGAGAAGAGCGAGGAGCCGTGCAGCGGGTTAAGCACGCCTGCCTCACATGCCACCTGCCGCACCTCCTCCAACCCCCGCCCGTCCGCTCTCGAGCCCCTGCCCAACACTGCGTCGCGAATCACCTGCTCACACACACATGTGCAGACATGCATAGCACAAGGCATCGGTGAGTGGTTGAGTGGCGATGGGTGGGTGTGAGTGGTTGAGTGGGCGGGAGGGTGGGTGAGTGAGTGGGTGAGTGCGTATGTGGGTGGTTAAGTGGAGCAAGCAGTGAATGAGTGAGTGAGTGGGGAAGAGAATCTGCTCTGCTAATGTACACGTTCCAACGAAACTTGTCTTGCCAATAGCGCACAGGCAGAACCCGCCAGGGGTAAGAGAACTGCCTAGATGCTTTTGTTATTATTCTTCTGGTCGACTCAAGAAAGGCTTGACATACTATATCGTGTTGCCTATAGCAAGCAGGAAGAAGCAACCAAGAAGCAACCATTTGAGTTTTCTAGGAACTAACGGGGGTAGAGGCGGAACACAGCACAGCCAGCCAGCAGGGTCTTTAGAGCAGTTGAGTTTTCTAGAGCAGTCTCAAAAGCAACAGAACACTGTACACTGCCAGTCACCACTCACCAAAGTCTCTAGAGCATTCGGGTTTCGTGTTTCCCAGGCTTATGCTCAAAGTCTAGTGATAGCTGTTGTGAGAGAAGGCAAAGGGTGCTGTGTGAATCTGTGGTCAGAAAAGCTGGGCCCTTGCAGCCAGCACCCTGACAGACAGCCCACCTCGCTCTCACCCACTCACCTCTCGCTTGAGTTTCTCCATGGCGCCTAGCAGCTGAGCCAAACCGGAATCTCAGGTTTTTTTTCGAAGGCGCCTCAAAAGTCACTGAGAGCCCTCTCTCGCCCGCTCTCTCCCACTCTCGCCCGCTCTCTCCCACTCTCGCCCGCTCTCTCCCACTCGCGCCCGCTCTCTCCCACTCTCGCCCACTCTCTCCCACTCTCGCCCGCTCTCTCCCACTCTCGCCCGCTCTCTCCCACTCTCGCCCGCTCTCTCCCACTCTCGCCCGCTCTCTCCCACTCTCGCCCGCTCTCTCCCACTCTCGCCCGCTCTCTCCCACTCACCTCTCTCTTGAGTTTCTCCATGGCGCCTGGCAGCTGCGCCAACGCGGAATCACCACCCTCAGCCCCTCCTTCCTCCACCTTCTCCTCCCCGGCAGCCCCACTCTCCCCTCCCCCCAGCACCTCTGCCACATCCTCCTGCACCTTGCTCAGCGCGCGCCCCCTGTCTTGCTGCCAACCACAGACACAGCAGAGCAGGGGATGAGCGGCAGAAGGTGGGGGGGGGAGGGGGTAAGCAGGAGGGAAACAGGGGAGGGGAAGGGGAGGTTTAAGTCGTCTTAAAGCCACATCCTCCTGCACCTTGCTCAGCGCGCGCCCCCTGTCTTGCTGGAAACACGGACACGGAGCAGGGGAAACGGAGGAAATGAAGGGAGGAAGGGTTATGAGACGTCTCGGAACCACATCCTGCTCCCTACCTTGCTCGGCGCCCGCCCCACCCCCTGTTTTGCTGGAAACATGGACACAGAGCAGGGGAAATGGGGGAAATAGGGTGGGACTGCCGTGCTGCCTGCTACCTGCAGGGTGGTTGGGTGGTTGAGGATTTATAAGACACCGTGCTACCTGCTAGCTACCTGCTACTCGGGTCCCCAACAACCCACCACCACAAGGCAACACAACACGTACCTTGGCGGCCCTTGGAGGAGTAGAGTGCATTGGTGAGCATGGCCGTCACAGCGTTCCCAGCCAGCCCCCTCACTGTCTCCATCACAACTTTTGAGGCGCCTCAAAAGCCACTAGGCAACACAACACGTACCTTGGCGGCCCTTGGAGGAGTAGAGCAAATTGGTGAGTGAGCACGGCCGTCACAGCGTTCCCAGCCAGCCCCCTCACTGTCTCCATCACAGCAGGTGTCACCACCAGCGACAGCACCGCCTGCCACTTCCCCTGCCAGCTTCCAACTTCCAAGGCACCTCACAAGTCAACACGTACCTTGGAGTAGAGTGCATTCGTGAGCACGGCCGTCACAGCGTTCCCTGCAAGACCCCTCACTCGCTCCATGACAGCGGGCGTCACCACCAGCGGCACGGCCTGCCTCTTCTCCTGCCGGGCCTGCTCTGCCAGCTCCAGCTGCGGGGGAATGAGCTTGGCAGCCTCGGCATGCGCGAGGTGCAGCGCTGCTGCCATGTCCTCGTTGCTTATCTCGCGTGCCTGCACCTCCATCATCACAGCGTGCTCTTGTGTGCATGCGTACACCAGAGACAGGTCGCTGCTTGCAAGCTGCGGGGATTGGGGGGAGGGAGTTTGGGGGCGCACGGGAAGGAAGCAGGGAGGAGAGCAGTTGCTCTTGTGTGCATGCGTACACCAGAGACAGGTCGCTGCTGGCAAGCTGCGGGGAAAGGGGGGGGAGGGGGGAGGCGAACACGGGGGGACGAAGAGTTGGGGTAGGTGTGGTGGGGTGGGGTGGGGTGGAGAGACAGAGTCACACATGCAGGGAACCAAACAAGGGGGGGTACTAAGTCACCGCATCTGATCAAGCCCCACCTCTAACCCTCGCACACCCACACGCAGACACACCCACAACCCCATAATTCCCTCCCACCGCTCTACAACACCTGGGTAAGCACCTGCGTCATGGATGGGTTGACAACAAACTACCCATCGATGCGCCCCACGCGCACGCAGCCGATGGGGCCGTTCCAGGGGATGTCCGAGATGCACAGTGCTGCCGACGCTGCAGTATCAGGAGCCACATGCACATACCTTCGTCAATCCACCCCACTTTCTCCCCTCCCCACACACTCACCCGCACACCTGCGTCAAGTCACACACACACACCACACACACATGCACCCCCTCCCTCCTCCCCCCTCCCACACCCAGAACCACAACCACCCACGCACCTGCGTCATGGATGGGTTCACAACAAACTGCCCGTCAATGCGCCCCACGCGCACGCAGCCAATGGGGCCGTTCCAGGGGATGTCCGAGATGCACAGCGCTGCTGACGCTGCATTCACCGCCAGCACGTCCGGGTCCTGCTCCTGGTCGCTGCTCAGCACCGAGGCCGTGATCTGCACGTGTGGGAGGGTGGGGAGGAAAATGCGGGAAGCAGGTTGGTGACAGAAGAAGGGTGGCGTTTTTGAGTGGGAAGGATTTTTCCTCTCAATGCAGGAACATTCACTGCCAGCACGTCCGGGTCCTGCTCCTGGTCGCTGCTCAGCACCGAGGCCGTGATCTGCACGCGGGTTGATTGAGGGGGGAACAGGGAAATAGGCACGTGCTGTTTGGGTGAGACCAGAGCACATCACTGCATGCCAGCACGTCCGGGTCCTGCTAATGGTCGCTGCTCAGCACAGAGGCCGTGATCTGCACGTGTGGGGTTGCGAGAGGGGAAGGGGGTATGAGAAAAGAGGCATGCGCCAGGTAAGGTCACCGCCAGCACGTCTGGGTCCTGCTAATAGTCGCTGCTCAGCACCGAGGCCGTGATCTGCAGATGGGTGGATGGGTGGTGGTTGGGTGGATGGGGGTTGGGGGGAGTGCAGAGATAAAAGAAGGTGCCTTGCATTGCCTCAAAAGTCACCATCAGACAACCCACCTAGGTACAGTAGAAAACGGCCTTCGGGAAAGAGGGGACGATTTTTAGGCGCCTTAGAAGTCTACCTAACCACCCCAACTCGGTTGGGTCCAATACAAGAAGGCTTTGGATCTCCCTCTCCTCGCGCCTTCCCGCCGTGATGTTCAGTCATTTCTCATAAAACTGAAGTCGTGTAGTAGGCTTAAGCAAAAAAACAACAGCGGTGAAGGTCAGGAACCGATCGTTGGTATGGGAGAGAGTTCCAATGAGGTTTTTTTGCTCCTTTCTTCACTTTTTGTCAGCCAAACTCCCGTATTCCCATCCCTTAGCAGATATGAGAGATAACTGTCTTTCGGATCTCATTGAAGAAGGACCCGATGAGATGACTTCGACAGGTGTTAGCATCACGACAGAGATTTTTGTTGGTCCTGACTCTTTGGCAACAGAGATTTTGTTGGTCCTGACTCTTCTGTCAAGTATTCTTGCTTAAGGTAAGTTGTAACTTGTATACCGCTGATTCTTGTCAAACTCATGTCGTAATTCGTTTGCCAAGGAACTTAATGCGTACAGTGCTATTCAAATTTCAAGGTACGCTACTTGGCTTGAAAGCACGATGGTGTGATCATGTGACACATGTCAATCACATGATCACACCCTACGTGCTTCCTAGCCAGGTACCTTGAAATCGGAATGGCATTGTACGCATTAAGCTCCTTGGCAAACGAAACACGGTATGAGTTTGACAAGCAATTCGGCGTACACAAGCTACAACTTACATTAACCAAGAGTACTGGACAGAAGGTTCAGGACCAACAAAAAATTATGTTGCCAAGGGACTCAACTTGATGCTAACACCTTTCGAAGCCTTCACACTGGATCCTTCTTCAGTGAGATCCGAAAGACAGTTATCCCTCCCATCCGCAAGGGATAAGAATACGAGAGTTCGGCTGACAAAAGGTGATCAGATGAGCAAGAAAACCTCACTGAAACTCTCTCCTATAAAAACGATCGGTTACTGACCTGCACTGTATGTTGGAAGCTTATGTACCTAAGCGAACCTACCTACGCACGGCGTACCCACCTGGGTATCGTAGAAGAAGCCTTTGGGGAAGAGTGGGCGGATGGAGCGGTCGATGATGCGTGCACAAAGGATCTCCCTCTCCTTGGGCGCACCCTCTCTCCGCATGTACGTGTTGGGTATGCGCCCCATCACGTACTGCCTCTCCCTGTAGTCCACCTGCCGTTGGAAAACCAAGCACGCACAGGAGCATGCACACATGCACACACGGACACACATGCACACAAACAGATAACGTTTACACAGGGGAGGGAAGCAGGTGGTTGTTGAGGGGGATGGGTTGCTTTGGTCAGGGTTTCTGATGGACAGGCAACGGGCTTTGTTGGGCCGGGTGCAACTGGCGTCCACTGCTGCCTGAATCTACTGACATAACCATGTTCCTTTGCAAAAACAAACAGACAGACAGACAGACAGACAGAAAAAGTAGGCAGGCAGGTAGACACACAGACCAACAGGCACAGAGAGACACACACATACCGTGAGTGGCAGGAAGTCCAGGGAGGTGTCCCGATCGTGGGATGCGACAGCAGTGACGAGCACGTTGGTGTCGCCCACGCCCACCACCACGGCCCCTGACGCCAGGCGCTCATTGAGTCGGCTCAACAATCAGCAGGCGAGCAGGCAGGAACGCGGGCACACAGGCAGACATGCACACATACCATGAGGGGCAGGAAGTCCCGAGAAGTGTCCCTATCGTGGGAGGCGACTGCTGTGACGAGCACCTTGGTGTCGCCCACGCCCACCACCACGGCGCCTGACGCCAGGCGTGCCAGCCGCCCCGTCTCAAACACCACCTCGCTGCCCGCCAGGTCCACTCGCGCTGATAGGGACTCGCCGGGGTCTGGGTGGTGAAGGGGTGGGGGTGGTAGGGAGGGAGAGAGTAGGGAGAGGGTGAAACGCGATGGGTAACGTAGCACACGATGGGAGTCGAAGAGAAGACGAGGGGAAGCGAGGGCGATGCAGAGAGGGTGGAAGGAAGAGAAGACGATGTCCCGAGTAGACTGAGTCATTGGCAAGACGGACGTGCCAGCCACGTGTGTGGGAAAAGGGCCGTGGAGGAGGTAGGTTCACTCACCAGGAACGGCACGGGGTACAGAGGGCGGCAGCGCCTCGATGATGCCGCTGCTGCTGCTGCTGTCCGCGCCCGCGCCCGAAAGGATGGTGGAGTGGAGCTGCTGCGGCGCTAGCGCAGAGGACGAGAGGAAGCGGACGAGCGCGGGGATGGGCGCGGCGGAGAGCGGGTGGTGGAGCGGCGGCCATGGCTGGTGATAAGAGGGGGAGGGGGCACGGATGGGCAGAGGGACGCGGGGAGGGAGTAGAGATGGGGACGGGGGATCGGGAAGGCGGGAAAGGGGACAGGGGATGGGGGATAGGGGACGGGGGACGGGGGAATGGGGGACGGGGGATGAGCGATGGTGGACGAGGGACCGGGGGACGGCTGACCGAAGGAGGGGACCGCGGAGGGGGACGAAACTACGAAGATAAGCCTCTGATCGAATCAGGCGCGTGCTGTCCTTCTGCTGCCGCGGAAAGAGGATCTCTCATGCGAATTCAATGGCACGAAGACGATTCTGCGAATTTCTAAGTTTCAAAAACGCAGAAAGAGGATTGGCCTCCATGGCACGAGGGGGTTTGTCGTGACGGACGGACGCCCGATGGAAAGCAGGTGGACTGGCAGACGAAGGAGCGAGCGGAGGGGCGGAACAGAGAAACTTTTCAGATTCTGAACAGTTGCGCGCGGAAGGAAGCAGCGGGAAGGATGAAAGCGCAGGGCGGATAAGCGCGCGTACGTGGGTGAGGGCGATCGACGCCGCAGGAACGAGGAGGGAAAAGCGGGGCCGGCTGAATCTCCCTGCCGCAACCCCTTTACTAGAACCCTCGATACAAGCTACAGTAGCGTCTGTAGCGTCCCTATCGGTTGCGGGATCAGTGACAGTTCCGCTACTGACACCAGAAGTAGCGGAAGCGGCGGCGGCGGTTGCGGCTGCGGTGGCGGCCGGAGCGTGGGATGGAAGAACGGGAGACTGGAAGGCAGATCGTGCGATGTGCGACGAGAGCGACGAGCCTACGATCCGCTGCGACAGCGCGATCGCTGACGCTGGGGCTGACACGATCCTCGCACGGCGAGGCACGCGGGCCGCCGCCATTGCAGCGAGGGTTGGGGGGTGTGCTTGGAGGGACGGGGATGGAATCGGGGGTTGTGGTTGCGGGGTTCGAGGAGATATGCTGTGGGTGGAGAGGGGGCTGATCGATTATCAGCATGAGCTTCTTCGTTTTAATAAACTACGGCTGTTCTGATTCTAAATTAAGACACACGGAGACAACAAAGTCAGCTTTGGACGTAGGAAGCATTTAAAGCTTGCTCTCACAAAACAAAATTCTATCTATTAAAATTGATAATTAACTTATTTATGTGTAAAAACTGAAACTAAGCGGTATTGAATGCCTCTGTTTTAGGTGCGGGACTAATGTTAGAATCAGAAAGTGATCGTAACCAGGATCACCTCAGGAAGGTTCGCACAGTTCTAGTCTAGTGGTGGTGGGCCCTTGACCTCAATAGCAGAGTGAATGTAAATGCTTGAGATGATTAAAAACATGCAGTACAAGGAATATAAATATGAGTACAGGGGAATTCGAAACGACCTAGCTAGCCATGTACTCTAAGGGGTACATTCCCTTATTACAGCGAAATCCAACCGTGCGACTCCGAGTGGTTACGTAACTGTTCGGGCAGAATCCTCGCCACTGCTGCTGCCTGATTCTGTCTGCCCGACGGTCCAGATGCTTTTCGTAACCGTGTGACTCTTCGCGTCACTTGCGCCCTTTCATCTTCATTCCCGGTAGTGCGTGCTTTGGTTGCTGCGGAGAGGAGTGTACAGTAGTGCTTCGATAATCACTATTCGTAACACCCCCCTTCACTCCTAGCCGTAGCAGGTCTTGACCCGCTTGACTACTCCGCTGAGTTCGGAGCAGTGCTGGTACTGCTGTCGTGGCAGTTTCTTCGTGAGGAAGTCTGCTGCCATGTCACCCGTCGGGCAATAGGTTAGGTCAACCTTGCCCATGTCAACTTCGTCTTTGACGAAGAAGTACCGCAGCAAAATGTGTTTGGTGCGGTTGACGAATCCTGGCTTGTTCGTGATCCTGATCGCGCTCTGGTTGTCACAGTGCAGGCGAAAATTTGTTGAGGCAGGGATTTTCGCCTCCAGCAGCAGCTCCTGAAGGTAGAGGCCTTCGCGAACTGCTGCTGTCGCTGCGATGAACCCGGCCTCTGCTGATGACAGGGCAACCAGCTCTTGCTTCTGCGAGTTCCAAGAGATGGGCCCGCTGGGCTCGAGGCGGAAAATAAAGCCTGTCCTGGACCGTCGATTGTCAGGGTCGGCAGCGTGATCGGCGTCCACGTAGCCGATGAGGTTGAAGGATGAAGTTGGAATGGTGGAGTAGCAGAGCCCGCCGCTGGGCGTGGAAACGAAGAATTGAAGAGCTCGCTGAAGATCTGAGAGATTCTCAGCCGTTGGTTTGCGTGAGTACTGAGCCAACTGGCTCGCGATGTAGGAGAGGTCGGGCCTGCAGGTGACAGATGCAAAGAGCAGGCATCCCAACTGCTGCTGGTAAGTGTGAAGCCCAGCAGGGGACAGGGCTTTGTTGTCAGGCTTGTGGTTGGGTCCTGGAGTGCGGTAAGGGGTGGAGAGTGGTGCAGGCGCAATGTTGAAGCGCTTGCTAAGCTCCTCCGCATACTTCGCTTCTGAGAGATGAATGGCTTCCGGCGAGTAGGTGATGTTGAGTCCGAGAAACTGCTTCACGTCATGATTGCAGGTGATGTCGACGCGCCCTGCGAGGCTTTTCTCAAACTGCTCGAGCAGTTCGTTGCTTGAGCCCGTGTAGAAAAGGTCGTCGACGTAGACCGTGAGGAGGATGTATTCGCCACCGAAATCGCGGCGATACATTCCAGGATCGTGAGGCAGCTGCTTGAACCCGATTTCAAGCAGTATGTTGTGCAGGTACTGCTGCCAGAGTCTCGGTGCCTGTTTGATCCCATAGAGGGACTTGCGTAGCTGACAGACGCGTGGGTCTCCGTCGCCGTAAGTGTGTGGCTGTTCCACGTAGATCACGGCGTCCACTAACGCGTACAGGAACGCATTCTTCACATCGATCTGCCGGAGTGGTAGGTGTCGTGCGGCTGCGATGGCGAGGAGAATTCTGACGGACGTGTGACGGCTGACCGGTGCAAATGTCTGGTCAAAATCAATCCCGTGCCTTTGATCGTAGCCGCGCACCACCCAGCGTGCCTTGAATCGCTCAATCCTTGCGTCGGCTCCTGTCTTCACTCGGAAGATCCATTTGCCGGAGAGAATCCTTCTCCCCTTTACTGCTGCACGGTCGACGAGCATCCAGGTGTCGCGTGACTCGAGTGCCCGGATTTCCGCATCCATTGCTTCGCGCCACTCCTTGCTGTGTGGGCCTGTGAGAGCTTGCCGTGGGTTCTTAGGTTCGATGATGCGCGGAGCAGTGGAGATTGTAGCGTGTAGTCCAAGTAGCTGGAGACCAGTGACAGTGCTGTCGTGGCGATGTTGAGTGACGACTTCCTGCACGTCGTCATCATCGCTTTCTGGTTCAGGCGGTGCTGGCGGTGCTGTGTCTCCGCCGCTTCTGCTTCCTCCTGCTGCGCCTCCTCCTGTTGCGCCTGTTCCTCCTTCACCTGAATCATCGTCGTCGTCGTCGCGGCGATCGCCTCTCGTGAACTCGCCTCTGGGATCCTGCTCCAGAATTGCTGCTGCTGCTTCGTCCTCAGGTGAGGCATAGCTGTGGCCCTCGTTGGCGTAGACGCGGTTTGCGTTCGTCTGCTCGTCGTCACGAAATTGTTGCAGAAACAGTCGCTCGTAGAAGATGACATCGCGCGCATTCTTGATTTTCTGGCTTAGGAGATCCAGGATGATCCACGCCTTGTGTTCGTGGCTGATACCGAGATGGATTCCCCAGCGCGCGCGGCTTTTGAACTTCTTGATGGTTGATGTTGGCGCTCGGTATTGAACCATGCAGCCCCAGACGCGGAGCATGGAGGTGTCCCCCTTTCTTCCCGTCCATTTCACGTGCGGCGAGGAGTTGCCGGTGATTGCGGTGGTTGACAGCAGGTTGTGCACCCGCACGGCGTGGTGCATCGCGTAGGTCCAGTAGATTGGCGGGAGCTTTGCCTGCCGCATTAGCGCCCGTACCTTCGTCATGAGAGTGCGATTCGTGCGCTCCGCTACGCCCTGCTGCTGGTGCGCGTAGGGGAGGGAGATGTGATGCTCGATCCCCTTTTGCGCGAGGTAATCCTGCAGTTCCTTGCTCCTGAACTCCGCCGCACCATCGGACTGCCAGATCTTCAATTTCTCCCTAGATTGCCGCTGCGCGTGCGCCAGCCACAGACGGAATGATTCGTAGGCTCTGCTACGCGCTTCCACGTTTACGACCCACACGTGGCGCGTTCCGGCGTCGACGAAGGTGAGTGTGTAGAGTTCGTCGTTGATGCCGCAGTGACCTACGTTGAGAAAGTCACTGTAAACCTTCTCAAGCTTGGCGTAGCGATTGGTTCCTGGCTCGAGTAGGGGGAAGGGCTGGTGACTCAGCGCAGCTTCGGGGCAGACAGTGCAGCTGCGCGGGTGAGTCCCTCCTCTCACTTCGGAGCCGTCAGGGCGCAACAGCGCGCCAGGTGCAAAGACGCCGGCTTCGATGCAGTTCTTCAGGGTCACGCGCGAAGGGTGACCTAGGCGCTGATGCCAGATGGCGTCGTCGGCGCGGAATCCAGATGTGCGCATGTAGCGCTCCAGTGCGGCTGCGGGGTCTTCGTCAGGTGCCGGTGCAGGTGTAGGCGCTGTTCCCTCGTTCTCTTCTTCTTCCTCGTTCGCCGTCGTTAGCATGAGGGCGAGAAATTCTCTGTCGCGGATGATGGAGTAGGGGATGTTGGTTCCGGGGATCGTGCCAAGTACGAACGTCGGTTCGCGCGGTTCAGAGGCAGGTCCGTAGACAGTGCGTCGCGGGGTGAGTGGTTCACTTCCCCAGTCAATGGTGTCCCAGGGGTCACTACCTGAAGGGATGTCAGGCGGCGGTGGTCCTAACGCAGGGCGGCGCGGAGGGCGTCCGAGAGGAACAACAGGAGGTTCGACCTTAGCATGCGCATGTTCTTCTGCCTCTTCCCCCCTTTGATCCTCGCGGAAAGCTCCCCAGCCGCTCGTCTCGCCGCCTTGTGCGGCGCCCCATCCGCCGATGTTTGCGCCTGTTGTTGCGCCCCATCCGCCGGTTGCGACGCCCCAGCTGCTGGTGTCGCTCGTTCCCCATCCGCCGGCGCTCCCCCACCCCCCTTCATTGGAGGCGCTTTCTTCGTCCTGCTCCCAGGCGAGCGTTCCGCGTGCCTCGGCGAGGCTCTTCCGCCGAAGTTCTTCGGCTTGTTGTTGCGACAATGCCTCTTCTTCTGTCGGCGAGAGCTTCTTCTTTGAATTGCGCCGGTGAGAGTAGATCTCTGCCGCCTTTTCCGCTGTGTAGGGACGTGGATTGCCATGCGCATCGAAGGTGCCGACTCCGACGCCGCGGAGCATTCCTTGGAGATGCTGAGACGCGGGTCCGGGGAGGGGATGTTCCGGAGTGCCGAAGACAACCCGTGTTGCTGTTTCCAGCTCCAGTTGGGAGAGTCCCTCTTCAGGCGGCGCGTCGCGTTCTGCTTCGCGGATGGCGGCGAGGCCGCGGCCAGCGAATGCGCTCGTCGAAGACGTGGGTGTGTGGCAGTCTCTGCAGATGCCGTCAGGGTCGGGGTCGTGCAGCGCCAGTTCGTGCGGGAACGAGGTCGATTAACTCCTGCGAGTCGCCGCTGCAGTCGGGAATGTCGAAGTCGAGAACGTATACGCCGTTCTCGGCGCGCGCCCGTCCGATCTGCTTGCGCTTCTTGTTCGGCATCGTGAAGTGGAGCAGGATGTCGCGCGTCTCGGGGTCAGTGCTGAGGATGACTCCGCAATCCACGAGTTGCGCCGCCGAGAGTAAATTAAAGCGCAGGTTCTGCACAATCAACCCGTCGTTGAGTGTGATGTGCGTTTGGCTCCCTCGTGCCTTGAGCACCACGATGCCTTGCGCGCTTGCGCGCAGCCGCGTGTTGTTCGCCACAGTTACGTAGGTGACAGCGGGGGTGGGGATGGCGTTGGATATGTAACGCTCAGAGCCCACCATGTGCTGCCCACAGCAGCTGTCCAGGTACCAGTTGTTGTAGCGCCTGTTGTCGTTTCGCGCGAGCAGCGCCAGTCGCGGAGTGACGATGTGTGGAGTGTCTACCTTCAAAAATTGTTCGCGCGCGATCCAGTCGATCGGTGCCGGCCGCATGTCAGGTA